ATGTAAAATTGGTTCTGGAGCCATTCTGCGATTATTTTTTACTGCCACTGAATACTCCTTCCAGCTCCTGCAGCTCGATCATGCAAGTTTCTAGTCAGGAGACGTTTTTTTTTTCTTTTTAATAATTATTGTGACTTTTTTTTTTTAATTACCTGTAATTACTTAAGCTAGCCTTACGTCGATGGTAACGAATGAATACGATCGAATTGCCATGATGATTTAGCGGTTGAAGAAATAATCTGCAGAAATATCCTTGTTATTTATATATGTAAAATATTTAAAAATTTTTTTTTTAATCCGAATTTATTTTACTTCTTTCTTTTTTTAAAGAAAAAAAGAATTCTGAAAAATATAAAGAATATCCGATTTTCTTGTATTGGATATATAATTGCAATAATTTTAAATAGAGAAAAGAGTTTAATTTATATATATATATATATATTCAGGTTTTCATAATGAAATCTATAGAATAAAATTTTATGAATTTTTGAAATCTTTTATCACAATATTAGGATATGTAAAATAATTTTTAATATATAATTTTTAAATATCAATGAATTTTTTCAGAATCTTCTATAATATAAAAAAAAAAACCTATAAAAATTACTCTAAATTTTAAATTTCAGTCATTTTATTGTCCAAAAGAATAATATATCAATGCAGGATTAATTCTGTTTTCCATTAAAGACGAATCTGACGAATTTAATTGGTTCGAATGATTTGATTGATGCACATTAATAGAGATCTCATTCGTCGCCGAAATCGGCAATTGATTTATATATCTTTCCTTCTCTTTTTAAATGTGTTCGAGAAAGGAAGTTTTATTATTTATTAAAATTTTTACATTATTATATGTATATGTCATGTAGGATAGAGCGCCGTAACATGAAACCGGGGTTTACCTCGGCTGTATGTGTGTACAATCTTGTAAATTATTAATTGTATTACTAAAAATTATTCAGAAAGTAACTAGCTAACGCAAATTAATAATTGTGTAGAGAACAAACAAAAACAAACAAATTCCTGGAAAGACAGGAACTGATGATAAGAAGAATAGGTAGGAACTGACTTGTACATACAGAAACTTAAGTTGTAATATTAAAAGAAAAAAAATATATATAATATTATTAATATTAAAATGATATATTTTATTTTTAAAATAACTGAAAAATCTTCCTTCGTTCATTTTATTAATAAAGAAAATCTTTGAATCTTTGAATCTTTGAATCTTTGAATCTTTGAATCTTTGAATCTTTGAATCTTT